CCCCAAAACCCCAAAACCCCAAAACCCCAAAACCCCTAAAATTATCATATCAAATGAATATTTTATTTTGTAAAATGAATGCTGAGCTCAAAACTACACATTTACTGTCTGGGTAGGAATATATTCTTTTCTATGCTTACCTGAACATACTATTGAATCATCTTGTAGCTTACTAAATCCACATTATATTTGGACTATAGAATAAGAGATCTATCCTCACGTAAAATGAGATTTATTTCACCATCAAATTGGAAGAGGAATCAGAGGAAGAAATTGAATATTAGTTTTCCTACTGCAAGCTCATGTGTTACGAATCAAAATATTTTGAGGTAATTTTTCACTTTCCTCACTGATCTCTGGCAATATAGAGTCTATATGGTAAGAATTTCTCAGAATAATACAATTTTATCCAAAATTTACTAAAAATTACTCCAAAATAGAACCGCCTTCCAGAGGTTGTAAAGCGGCCTGCAAGAGCTAGAGGGCAGAAAGCCATGTCTCAAAGAAATCGAAACAAAAAGTATATTCTTTCTTATATATTTTAGAGAATTTAGATCAGTAGGACCAGATGATAAATAAGACTAGAAGTATTCCATTATCACTATTTTTATGTAGTGCTGATGAAATTCGCTTACAGATCTCCTCGCAGGAACAACAGAAGTCGTCTAAATTCCTTAGAGAAGAGGGTAAGTAATACCAATTACTATCTTGCACTTTTTTATACTCACCATGAGTTTGCTTGGTATATAATACTGCTTCTCATTAAGTAGGAATCGAACAATAAATACAATAATACTTCAAAGAGATATTTCCAAAATTGATGAGAAATTCCTTAAAATGAATTCTAATTTATCTTTAGAAGATCATCGAAATGCCAAGTATCGAGAGAACTCCAATCCTTAACAGAAAAATTTGCAGCATTTCTAAGCCAAAAGATCTGCCTACCAATCAAGAATGAGCTAGAAACACTGTATTAGAGACCAAGACAGATGAGTCAGGTAAAACCGAGATGAAACAGCAAATCAGAAAGCTTATTCAACAGAAGAAGGCTAAATTTGGTAAGATTCCACATCTCATTCATAGACAATATATTCCAAAAGGTAATAATGGCTGTTATTACCGAGAATGGTAGATCCAGTCTTACTGTAGCTCGACTTCCGTGGGCTATATGCCTAGAGTTAATATCATTCAGTCTAATTTCTTACAGGAGTTCAGCAACTTTCTTATTAAAAATCCTGCTGAAAGAACAAAGACAGCAGCCGATCAATTTATGAGAACTACCCGCTCAAATTTCTTCAGTAATACTTCCAGATAATTTATCAGAGGATGAAAAAGAGAGGGTGAAATCACCAAAGATCATACTGAAAGTTAACTGAGATATCTCAAGCCGGAATATCTTTTTCAAGTAAAATACCACATCCAATTTCAATCCAGTGGGTCTTCATAGGGGTTTTGGGGTTTTGGGGTTTTGGGGTTTTGGG